AACACTGCTTGGAAAACCTCACAAATCCAGCTCCGAACATCATCCTGCTTGGGGACTTCAACCTACGGCACCTGAAATGGAAGCACCTGGCTAATACAGTAATATCAGAAAGAATACCAGGAAGTAGCCTAAATGAACAGGCACATGCAAATGACCTGCTACGGATGTGCGACAGGTTTGCCTTAAACCAGCAAATAGTAGAACCAACTAGGAAGGAGAACACGCTGGACCTCATTTTCAATAATAATGATGAATTGATCAGGAACATAATGATTACAAATACCTGTTACTCAGATCCCAACTTAATTGAAGTTATGACAACCATGGGGAGTAGACCTTCAAAACCAGTCCAGATTCCCGGTGGAGGAGATTTCAGCAAATTCAACTTCAATAATAAACAGATAAACTGGGAGCAAATAAACCAGGACTTCACAGAAATAAACTGGAAAGAACAGCTAGAAAATGCAAAACTGAACCAGTGCCTGGAAAAAATAAGCTCAGTAGCACTAGAAATATGTTCAAACCGCATACCTCTAAGAAAAAAAAGAGGAAGAGATGCAGATTGGAACGGGAACGTCGTTCCCTATATAGGCGAAGAAATGAATCGCGGAACAACTTGAGAGTCGCACCCTATCTCAAGAACGGCGAAGAAGGTTAGGTAGAGAAATAGAAACAATTGAACGGAAGCTACAAGAATCATACAAAACCCAGGAGAGGCAAAGAGAGCAAAAGGCCATCAGTGAAATAGAAAGAAATCCGAAATATTTTTTCACCTATGCAAAATCAAGATCAAAAACCACATCTAGTATCGGGCCCCTGCGAAAGGGAGATGGAACTTTCACCGATGACAACAAAGAAATGAGCGAGCTGCTGAGGACGCAGTACTGAGGACGCAGTACGACTCTGTTTTCAGCGAGCCATTAAACACACTAAAGATTGATAACCCAAATGAATTTTTCATGGATACGATACCAACATCAAATCATATATCAGACGTCACCCTATCCCCACTGGATTTTGAAGAAGCCAAAAACAGTATGCCTATGCACTCTGCACCAGGCCCGGATTCTTGGAACTCCATATTCATAAAGAACTGTAAAAAAACACTATCACAGGCCCTCCACATTCTGTGGAGACAAAGCCTAGATACTGGCGTTATTCCTGATATACTAAAAACAGCAGAGATACTGTAGCACCACTTCATAAAGGAGGAAATAAGGCAGAGGCAAAAAATTACAGACCGATAGCGCTAACATCACACATCATAAAAAATTTTGAGAGAGTGCTAAGAAGTAAAATCACAAAATACATGGAATCACAGCAACTCCATAACCCCGGACAACATGGTTTCAGAACAGGGCGCTCTTGCCTGTCACAGTTGCTGGACCACTATGGTATGGCATTAGATGCTATGGAAGACAAACAAAACGCGGATGTAATTTACACTGATTTCGCAAAAGCTTTTGATAAATGTGACCATGGTGTTATTGCACATAAAATGCGTTCAAAAGGAATTACCGGAAAAATAGGCAGATGGATCTACAATTTCCTGACCAACAGAACCCAATGTGTAATAGTCAACAAAATAAAATCCAGCCCATCAACCGTGAAGAACTCAGTCCCCCAGGGTACTGTGCTTGCTCCAGTACTTTTTCTCATCCTCATTTCGGACATAGACAAGAACACAACCTATAGCACTGTATCATCGTTTGCAGATGACACTAGGATCTTCATGAGAGTAGGCAACATAGAGGACACGGCGAACCTCCAGTCAGATGTAGATCAGGTCTTTCTATGGGCTACAGAAAATAATATGGTGTTTAACGAAGATAAGTTCCAGCTCATGTGCTATGGAAAAAATGAAAATATAAAAACGGAAACCACGTACAAAACTCAGGCAAATCATAACATAGAACGAAAAGGCAATGTAAAGGATCTGGGTGTACTCATGTCGGAAGACCTTACCTTTAAAGAACACAATAAAGTAGCCGTCACAACTGCAAGAAAAATGACAGGTTGGATAACAAGAACTTTTCACACTAGAGATGCTATACCGATGATGATACTTTTCAAAACGCTTGTGCTCTCTAGAGTGGAGTACTGCTGCACAATGACAGCACCTTTCAAAGCTGGAGAAATTACTGACCTGGAGAGCGTGCAGAGATCCTTTACTGCTAGAATCCACTCAGTAAAACATCTAAACTATTGGGACCGACTAAAGAGCCTAAAACTGTACTCCCTTGAGCGCAGGCGGGAGAGGTACATAATAATTTACACGTGGAAAATATCAGAGAGGCTGGTCCCAAACCTGCACACAGAAATAACATCACATGAGACCAGAAGACATGGCAGGATGTGCAGAATACCCCCGTTGAAAAACAGAGGTGCAACTGGTACTCTGAGAGAAAACTCTATCAACATCAGAGGTCCGAGACTGTTCAACACGCTTCCACTACACATAAGGGGCATAACTGGCCGACCCCTCACAGTGTTCAAGAGAGAACTGGATAAGCACCTCCAAAGGATACCTGATCAACCAGGCTGTGACTCGTATGTCAGGCTGCAAGCAGCCGCGTCCAACAGCCTGGTTGATCAGTCCGGCAACCAGGAGGCCTGGTCGACGACCGAGCCGCGGGGACGCTAAGCCCCGGAAGCACCTCAAGGTAACCTCAAGGTAACCACTAGGACCTGGTTGTGAGTCACTGCTTGTTTGTCTCACTAAAAAGTTTCCAGAGATTTTTGTTTTTCCTTGTGTTTTAATTTTAGTCTGTAGTGAGGCATTACAGTGTCATTAAAAACGTTAAGGCAACGGCCTACTGCACCGTGATTTGGGCGAGTCGTTTCAGCAAGTTTGCAATTCTTGCCATGCTGCACACATTTTCTTAATGAGGAAGGGACATTCTGTACTGTCTCCTCCTCCCCTGAAGAAATTTCCTCAGCTGTCTCTTGTTGCTGCTCCTTGTGAAGTTCTTTGGTGGTCAGTTCTTCGCTGTGTTTCTCCACCAGCTCGCAACACACAACACTCAGAACACTATGAATGCCACTTCTTTTTCTAAATTTCTCAAACCATCCCCCTGCTCGCTTTAAACTCTTTCGCATTTCCATTACTCGTTCCAGGGATTTTCTTTGAAAGGTCTTCATGCAATTTCCTTGCTTTTTCACAAGTGATGGCCTCTGAAACTCTCTCACCCGCTAACTCCTTGCTGTGTATCCAAATTCATAATAACTGTTCAACATCCTCAAGTGTCCCTTTGTCCTTTTTGTTAGCCAGTATGGTGGATATCGTTGACTGAGATGTGTTGTACTGCCTAGCTAATTCAACAACCCGCACACCATCATCATATTTACGAATGATCTCTTGCTTTTGCTCTATGGTCATCCTTACATGGGTTTTCATATGTTGAACCTTACCACTGACTTTCTTGGGACCCATGGCATAATATATAATAATTACTTTTATGTTCAAAAGGCAAAAAATCACCACAAAAACGAAATTTCTTATAGGTGTGATCGTCACTAAGTGGGCAGCTGTTGTAAACTGAGGTAGGTTGGCCCGTGTGACCGGGAACCACGCGCTCGGTCGACCCAAACGTGTACCAACAAATATCGTTAGTCAACGACACCATCGTATGTCGAGTCACATTTTTCGATCAAATTTACATTTTAACTCGAAATTATCGTAAGTCGGGGCAAGCTTAAGTGGAGGTGCCACTATGTATTTTTACATTTTTCGGCGATGCTGTGGTCACAAGCTAAACAGCAATGCTGTTCGCTCATGCATCGTGCGCCAGCCTTGGTTGCTCCAACAGTACAGTGGCTCTCACACCTGGGAATATTGCTCACGATTTTTTTTTTAATGACGTCTGTTTACAAGAGCCTTGAGGAAGCTAATGTGAACCCAGTGTAGCCGCAGGCCATTTGAATCGTGCCTGGCACCCTATGGCGTATATATATGTCATGTGCACAGTGGGACATGTTTCTCATGGCGTATATATATGCCATGTGCAGTTTAAGGGTTAAATCTTGCATGGCACTCCAACACATCAATAGCTGTGATGCGCAATTCCATGGCAGTTACTCAACACAGCTATTGATGGGTTGTGCAGTTTAGTGGTTAAAGCTTCTGAGCCATCCATCACTGTATACACTCTTCTCAGGAATTTTCATTGTTTGGTGAAACTCATGTGCCTTTTCCATGAGAAGCCAGCATGCCATTGGCTTCTTCATCTCCTCATGCTTTTGTTTGTACTACTGCCACACTGCATTATCGACACTCCACTTTTGCTTTACTTACTACCTTTCTATTTTGTATATCCTTACCACTTTCACTTCTAGAGAAATAGTAAAAAATGATAGGTTTAGCCTTAAGAAGATCAAAAAGAGTGCTCTTGCTAATGCCATAGTCAGCAAACACGATACTTCTCAGAACTCCGCTCTCCACCTTCTTAATTATTTCAACTTTCTTCTCAAATGTCATCACTGACTTCTTTCTTTTATATATTCCACTTGTTGAAGCTTTCACTGACACAATGGGTACATTTGTGCTGACATGGTGCATGGATGTTCCTAGATTGTGATGATATATCCAACAAAGTCACGGAATGAACACTCCAGTCTTGTGACAAATCCAAACAATGGAAACAATGGGTCGTAATGTCACAGGGTAGAAGGCACTAGAGTGGCACCCGACATGGTCAGTGGACAAACTAGGGACCCATCCCTCACCCAACTACCCTGGGCCACAAGGCCTGGTGGACACTTGCCCAATGAGATACCCAAACTATTTTATGCAAACCTCGCACTTCCCGAAAATGAGTATCTGAACCAACCCCAATCAGGAATTGGAAGTTTCGGATACACGACCTTCGCAAAGCACATGGGTGTCTGTATTACTTTTTAGATGACTTTACTATTCCTTTTCACTATTTTCAATAATATGTTTACTACATATACTAGGGCTTAGGTTTATATCCAACCTCAGTGAAAAAAAGAAAAAGGGATGTTAACAAGAACTAACTTTTTATTATAAATAATACATTTTAATTATACATATATATATCAATATAATCAAATAACAATTACACTATTATAAATATATTATTATAAACAAATGAGCTCATACATTAATGTTTAAAATATCAAACATAGTATACCTTTACTGGCATCCAAAAATCAAATAAATCACAAAATTACATAGTACCACTGGTCTACACTGTATAGTACCACTGGCCCTGCTCTATATAGTACCACTGGCCTGCATTATATAGTACCACTGGCCTGCAGTATATAATACCACTGGCCTGCACTATATAGTACCACTGGCCTGCACTATAAAATACCACTGGTCTACACTGTATAGTACCCCTGGTCTACACTGTATAGTACCCCTGGTCTACACTGTATAGTACCCCTGGTCAACACTGTATAGTACCCCTGGTCTACACTGTATAGTACCACTGGCCTGCATTATATAGTACCACTGGTCTGCACTATATAGTACCAATGGCCTGCACTATATAATACCACTGGCCTGCACTATATAGTACCACTGGCCTGCACTATATAGTACCACTGGCCTGCACTATATAGTACCACTGGCCTGCACTATATAGTACCACTGGCCTGCACTATATAGTACCACTGGCCTGCACTATATAGTACCACTGGCCTGCAGTATATAATACCACTGGCCTGCACTATATAGTACCACTGGCCTGCAGTATATAATACCACTGGCCTGCACTGTATAGTACCACTGGTCTACACTGTATAGTACTACTGACATGAAGTATACAGCACTTCTGGCCTGCACAATACAGTACTATTTACCTGCACAACCTACCCAAGATGTAGCAATATCCACCATCTACATGTAACATCAGTACTGCATTGTAGCAACTTCAACACAACATTCATTCTACATAGATGTATTATTTTCCTTGTTAAAGACAACCATGACACCTATACCAACGTGGTTAATATCTTGGAATTATTTAATATTTCTGTGATTTTTACACAACTTCCCAAATATTGGATTGTATGTTGATATTGCATGGCTTCTTTCCTTCATTTTTCCTCAAATTGTATTACTAAAGCAAATTTATATTAAACTGTATACTCTAAACCCTAATAAAGTTATGCATATAAGAAATTAATACATTAACAAATTACAATTTATTTTATTTCAGGTATTGTAAGCATCAATATATAATAGTTTCTTTCCTGTATGAACTGTCATATGTGCTGCTAAATATGATTTTCGTGAAAAGTCTTTTTGACACTCTGAACACTTGTATGGTTTCTCTCCAGTATGAACCCTCAGATGTTGTACTAGATCGTATCTTTGTGAAAAGTCTTTTAGACACTCTGAACACTGATATGGTTTTATTCCTGTATGTACTATCATGTGTGTTGTTAGATGTGACTTTTGTGAGAATGTTTTTAGACACTCCAAACACTGATATGGTTTTTCTCCAGTATGAACTCTCATATGTTTTGATAGATGTGATTTTTGTGAAAAGTCTTTCAGACAATCAAAACATTGATATAATTTTTCTCCTCTATGAACTCTCATATGTATTGTTAGACTTGATCTGTGTTTAAAGCCCTTCAGACATTCTGAACACCAATAAGGGACCTCTCCTGTGTGAACTGTCATGTGTGTTGTAAGATGAGATTTTTGTGAAAAATCTTTTTGACACACTGAACATTGATATGGCTTCTCTCCTGAATGAACTCTCATATGCTTTGCTAGATGTGATTTTTGAGTAAAGTGTTTTAAACATTGTGTACACCGATACGGTTTTTCTCCTCGATGAACTCTTGTATGTGTCACTAGACTTGATTTATGTTTAAAGCCCTTTAGACATTCAGAACACCAATATAGTTTTTGTAATGAATGAACTCGCATATGTGTTGTTAGATATGATTTGTTTGAAAAGTCTTGCAGACACTCTGAACATCGATAGGGTCTTACTCCTGTATGAACAGTCATATGTACTGCTAGATGTGATTTTTGTTTAAAGTCTTTGAGACACACTGAACACCGATATGGTTTCTCACCTGTATGTACTCTCGTATGATTTGCTAGATGTGATTTTTGTGAAAATCCTTTATGACACTCGGAACATTGATATGGTTTCTCTCCTCTATGAACTCTCATGTGTGTTGCTAGACTTGACTTGTGTTTAAAACCCTTCAGACATTCGGTACACCCATATGGTTTATCTGCTGAATGAACTGTCATGTGTGTTACTAGATGAGATTTTTGTGAAAAGGCTTTTAGACATTCCGAGCATTGAAATGGCTTCTCTCCTGTATGGATTGTCATATGTGCTGCCAGATAAGATTTTTGTGAAAAAGCTTTTAGGCATTCCAAACACTGATATGGTTTCTCTCCTCTATGAATTCTCATGTGTGTTGCTAGACTTGATTTGTGTTTAAAACTCTTTAGACACTCTGAGCACCCATAAGGTTTCTCCTCTGAATGAACTGTCATGTGTGTTATTAGATATGACTTTTGGGAAAATGGTTTTAGACACTCTAAACATTGATATGGTTTCTCTCTTGAGTGAACTATCATATGGGCTTCAAGATATGTCTTTTGTGAAAACCCTTTTAGACACTCAGAACATTGATATGGTTTCTCTGTTCTATGAACACTCATATGTGTAGCTAGATCTGATTTATGCTTGAAGCCCTTGATACATTCTGTACACCAAAATGGTTTCTCGTCTGAATGCGTATTCATTTGTGTAATTTTATGTAATTTTGGGGATCAGTTCTGTATAGACTCTGAACTCTGATCAGATATCTCTACAAGTGAAAACTTTTATATGTTTTATTTGATTTATAAATAAATATGTTAAATTATTTGACTGTACAATTTCTCTAATTAAAAAAATAATTTTTTGAATGTTACACTATGAAAAAGTGCTTTAAGCACTGAACTTTACTAAGTTTTCTCTCTTATAAGACCTCTCATAAACTGTGAGCAATAATATTAAGTATTTGTTTAGAGTGCATGGTAAATGAATATGACTTTTTTGAAGAACATTTTAAACTCTTGAACTCTTACATGGGTTACCATCTGTATGACATTTTGTCATTTATAGATTTATTTTAAGACTTTTAAATAATTAATATGTATAATAATTTTTTCTTGAATCAATTTTCCTGAGCTGGTTAACACAAACTTTGCACCAAATAGATCAGATACCTGACACTATGTCCCCTTTATTTTAAAAGCCTTCTTTTTTAGCAGACTTTCTTTAAACTTTTACAATCCTAAGAACAATGATGTATTATTTGGCTTTAAAAATGTTGTTTGAACTTTTAATAGACATATAATGTTATTATTAATTTCCTTTTGTTATATAATCTATCAACATTTAAAATACAAAAATACTAAATACTGAAATGATTTCTCTCAAAAATAATGTGATAATGGGTAAGAAATAATTTAACACTAATAATACTCAAAATAATGATCTGATCTTTTGTTTAGTAATTACATTTGATCATCAATACTGTATTCTACTTCAAATTCTCCAATACAGTGACAATAAGCTTTCCCCTCCGGCAGTGTATGCGAAGGTGATACTACAGTACTGCAAACCTCCGCCTGCTAAGGCAATGTGTGCACAGGTAGTAAACACTAACTGATCTCAACAGTGCCAGAGTAATACTTGAACACTCTGTTTGGAGTTACACTGCATAAACAAATGAGAAAATTCAGCAATGTACACATCATCTCTAAAAGCAGGTGATCAATGTTCGTGTAATATAAATACTACTGTACCTTGTTGGGTCAAGGTCAAAGTTCATATACACAATACATTCTAGGATCAGGGGTCAACATTCATGTAAAACACTCACTACCTCTGATTGAAAGGTAAATTTCAATGCAGCAACTGTTTATACTACACATGAAACCCTTGAAATGGACAAGTTATTGTTTAAACAGTGAGTGCCCAGGTGTACACTGGGTGTTGAGGGTGGCCCAGCTTACACTGGTCATTGAGGAAGGCCAGTAAATATTTTATTAAAATATTATCACATGAGCTCTTAAGATTTATCTATGATTTACCTGTAATGGATTTTAAGTATTGTATCTCTGCTGAAGCAGCCTAGCCAGTCTTTATGCCAGTTAATTTTGCAGCCACATTATATAAGCAGAGTTTGCATGCTGGCACTGCAGGGGTTCTCAGAGCATCATACCAATGAGCTGTAAAAGAAGACCAACACTCGGTATTACTTGAATCACACTTCCATAAAATATATACTGGTATTAAAGCTTATGTTAAATTAGTTATAATAAGACAGGAACCTTAGAAACCTTCTCCAGTGCACGCTAGACTAATAAGCAATCAGGATCAGAATAAGATACACAAATTATCTAAGACCACGCCTTCCCTTTGCATTTGATACCTTACCTTGATACCTGCTTGATGGGGTTCTGGGAGTTCTTCTACTCCCCAAGCCCGGCCCGAGGCCAGGCTTGACTTGTGAGAGTTTGGTCCACTAGGCTGTTGCTTGGAGCGGCCCACATACCCACCACAGCCTGGTTGGTCTGACACTCCTACACTGTTCTCTAACACACCTCTCAAATGTGAATCTTTAATAATATTGGATAAAATTAGGTTGAAACCAATTATTTTTATCCAATATTATATAAATTACTTTAATTATATGTGAAGTAAACATAAAACTTTAAATTTAAAAAAAAAAAGGCAAATTCTCAATTTTATACAAGTTTAATTTATCCACTGCACTGCACAGAGCGCCTTAAGGCGCTGGATTGAAGGTGCGCAGAGCGCCATTTGATAATCATAGGTATGTTGTAGGATTCAAAACTGGCGTGCAGTGACCTGGGAACGAGATGGTTGCACGAAGCCTCCAGTAAGCGTCTGCCATTTTTTTTTTAAATCTCTGCATGCCTCACGACCATCGGGAGCCTTAGTATCAAGGTAGCAACCATGTCTGATGCATCACAACGAGCTCTCGGTCTTCAGTCAGCCACGGTGTTGAAAAACAACTCTCAGACTCTTCAGGGGCCTGACAGCTGAGTGGACAGCACTTCAGATTCGTAGTCTTGAGGTTCCGGGTTCGATCCCTGGTGGAGGCAGCAACAAATGGGCAGTTTCTTTCACCCTTATGCCCCTGTTACCTAGTAGTAAATAGATACCTAGGAGTTAGACAGCTGCTACGGGCTGTTTCCTGGGGATGTATAACAAAAAGAAGGCCTGGTCAAGGACCGGGCCGCAGGGACGCTAAGCCCCGAAATCATCTCAAGATAACCTCAAGATAACCTCAGAAATGATACAGACAATGAGGTGGACGATGTCAAGAGTGCGTACAGTACACGCGTCTCGCCCAGCCTCCTATGCTGCCCTAGGTCAACATCACTGGATTTACCATCACCATCTGTGTCACCTGATGTGAGTCTACTGAGTGATAGTGTAAGTGATGAGTCAGTTTCTGGCTTCAGTGACATAGTCTCAGAAACAAGCAGTTTTGATGAACCGAGTGCAAGCAGCTATGGTGTTACTAGGCGAGGTTTTGCTACCCCAGCAACATGCTGAGGCAAGCGCCAGCATGTCACACGGCTTGAGGACAAAGACGACAGTGAGCCTCTGACATCAGGTGTTCAGATTAGTGGGCCAGCCAGAGGCTTAGGGCCTATGCAAGAATATCCCTGAAAAAAAAAAATCAGGTGTTTGTGGTAGGCCTATACCTCGCAGAACAGACTCATCTCCTGACATTCGCAGTTTTAGCACAATTGGTGCTCGTGCTGGTGTAGGCCGTGGTGTTGGCGCAAAAAAAAAAAAAAAAGGTGTATTTGCATGGGAGGATTGTGACAATTTTGTCCTGCAAATTCCAGCATTTGATAATACCGATGTTGGTGTGACACCCTTATTCCTCTATACTAGTGATGATATGCCTGAAATGGATTCTTTTATGGCATATTTCAATCAGCCATTCATAGACCATCTCGTTGCAGAGACGACCCAATATGCTCTGCAACTCATTGCCTTGGGAATTTTACCTGCCTCTCCAATGACACGCTGGAAAGCCATGATTATTGAGGAATTGTATGTGTATTTAGCGTTGTGCATGATGATAAAGCATGCAGAAAAACATGTGATCCAGGATTATTAGAACAAATACAGCCTTGTTCCAACACCCTTGTTCAACAGGTACATGTCACGTGATAGGTTCCTGCTGCTTCTCCGGTTCCTGCACGTTGAAAACAATGTTAATGAAGACAGACAGGACAGACTGTGGAAAGTGCGAAAGATATTTATTGAATTGAGAGGAAAGTACCGTGACTATCTTGTACCAACACAGAATGTCGTGATTGATTAATCACTAGTTCTCTTCAAGTGATGACTGGTGTGCAAGCAGAGCATACCATCAAAGCGGCACTGGTTTGGACTAAAGTTCTTCGTGTTATTTGACTGCAAAACTGGTATGATCATGGACATGGATATTGTATTCAGGTACAGACGTTGACATACCAGGTCAAGATCCACATGGGTTCTCATTCAGTGTCGTCAAAACACTAATGGAACCGTTGCTGAACAAGGGGCATATCCTGTATACAGACAACTACTTTACCAGCCCCTTGGTGACCAGATTCCCCCTTGACCACAACACCGGCAAATGTGGCACTGTCAAGACACACAGGAGGGAAATGCCAGTATTTGGAATTGCAGTGGGTGAATGCCAGCTGAGAAAGTGTGATCAAATGTTATCCATTTGCTAAAGGGACAGACATGAGATAAATATGTTAACAACTATTCACACCGGTGCAATGTTGGACAGTTGCAAAGTGAACTTTGAAACAAGGTTAAAAATGTAAAAACCGATTGTGTCATTGACTACAATGCAAATATGGGTTTAGTAGATACAGTACATGTGACACGATGGTTGGTGCCGTCAAGTGCATGAGAAAATCTGTGACGTGGACTAATAAATTGTTTCTCCACCTTGTTGACATCCCAGTGCTGAACTCTTTTCAACCCGTATCTTGTGAAATCTGGCAAGATACCACCAGTCCGTACTCTCAGTGTTGCTCTAGTATCGCAACTACTTGCAAAATATTGGGTGGGAAGGGAAGGGAATTATCGGGGGGGGGGGGGGGTAGTGCCAAGCCATTACGACTCTTTAGCTCTTGGAAGAGGTTAGGATAAGGATTTGGGATGGGACGGGGGAAAGAAATGGTGCCCAACCCCTTGGACAGTCGGAGACTAAACGCTGACCAGCATGATGCGAGACCCTCACTCTACTATCCAGCCCAAGTGGTTAGGCAATAGTGGGTGGGAGGACAGTGTTGAGACACGTGGGGTGCCGGCAATAATGCCTCACACAGTTCCTGACACTCAAATGTAAAGAATATCTTGCTGTATACAATCTTAGTTATATGGCAAGCACAGGAACATGTGAAAAGGGTAAACATGCTTGCATGGTTTGCAAGAACACACAACTTAAGGAACAGAAGCGAAAATCTGTCTGCACTTGGTGTGTTGAGTGCAAAGTTGCCTTATGCCCAGTTGATTGCTTCAGTGACTATCACAAACTCGTAATTACCTAAGTTTAATTACCTAGGTGTAGTTACAGGATGAGAGCTACGCTCGTGGTGTCCCGTCTTCCCAACACTCTTTGTCATATAACGCTTTGAAACTACTGACGGTCTTGGCCTCCACCACCTTCTCACCTAACTTGTTCTAACCGTCTACCACTCTGTTTGCGAAAGTGAATTTTCTTATATTTCTTCGGTGTCTGTGTTTAGCTAGTTTAAATCTATGACCTCTTGTTCTTGAAGTTCCAGGTCTCAAGAAATCTTCCCTATTGATTTTATCAATTCCTGTTACTATTTTGTACGTAGTGATCATATCACCTCTTTTCTTCTGTCTTCTAGTTTTGGCATATTTAAAATTATTACAACAATCCTGCTATTATCACAACCCTGGTTATTTATATCACAGTCATAGGTCATCTGTAATATTGTCATTGCTAAATAATAACAATTATATATTTATTTTGACATTTTTCAGCGATGCTGTGGTCACAAGCTGAACAGCAATGCTGTTCGCTCATGCTGCATGCGCCAGCCTTGGTTGCTCCAACAGTACTGTGCCTCTCACACCTGAGAATATTGCCCACGATTTTTTTTTAAATGGCGTCTGTTTACAAGAGCAATGAGGAAGCTACTGTGAACCCCGTGTAGCCGCGGGCCATTGAATCGGGCCTGGCACCCTATGGCGTATATATACGCCATGCGTACTGTGGGACATGTTACTCAGGGCGTATATATACGCCATGCGCAGTTTAAGGGTTAAGCCAGATCCAGTAACATAAACCTCTCTTAAATATTCGATTTACATCAAATTATATATTTTTGGGTTATATATTTAGTTTAGAAACATTATTACGGTAATAAGAGCTATAAAAAATACTTATTTTGGAACTGATTTATTAATTTTATTATTTCGAAGCCGTAGGTCACTGAACTGTGGCGACGAAATCGAACACACCGGGTGTTGTGTTCGATTTCCAGTAACATAAATTTCTCTCAAATATTTGATTTACATCAAATTATATATTTTTGGGTTATATGTTTAGTTTAGCAACATTATTACGGTAATAAGAGCTATAAAAAATACTTATTTTGGAACTGATTTATTAATTTTATTATTTCGAAGCCTAGATCACTGAACTGTTGCGACGAAATCGAACAAAACAAGCATGGTGTTGTGTGGACAGGGATTAGACCCGTCCACTCGTGTTGGAGTTGAGCCGCCAATAACGTGAATAATTTCTCAAATAGCAGATATCTATCATATTACAGTTTATTTTTGGTTTTATTTAGTTTAGTTTAATTAGGATAATAAAGAGTTATTAAAACACCAGTTTTAGAAATGATTCAATGTGAAACGTTCAAAGTCATGGGTCACTGAACTATGACAACACAGACGAAAGTGAGTGAAACCTCACTATACAGTGAGGTTTACTGTACAGTATTCCCTTATCTGTACACCCTCACTCGTCTTGTTTCATCACAGAAAATGTATATAAGAAGATTTCAACACATTAGCTAGCTATTCACGCTTCAGCCTTTAAATTAATTTACAAAGATACATGTGCCACAAATCGGTGAACCAAAATCATTGAAACTCTGTCGTTCACTTGTGTGGACCACTTTGGCTGGTGTTTAGTTAATAT